CTCAGTGAAGTGAGTGAAAGCATAATTTGGTTGTCATGGACCGAAAGTGCGTCGTGCAATACGCCCCCACAGAGGTGGTGGAAAGAAGTGACTCAAAATTTGGAGTAGTTTTGGCTATGCAAGCAGGGGATTGCTTGGGTTCGGAGAGATCGACACGCGTGAATCTGTTGGGATCCATTATTTAGTATTGCGACCTATTACTATCGTTAGTCAGTTAGTTGGTTAATAATTTCTAGCCTTCGACACACCCGGGTCCTATACAGAACTGCTTCCGCTACACAAAAATTTAGCATGACACTTTTGCAGTGTTTGGTGCTCACCGATCCTGCGCACCACCCCCTCCCCTCCTCTCTTCCTTATGGCCAGGTACGATGAGTTTCGCACAACGACGCTGTACCCTGACCCCCAGTGCAAAATTCACCATGCACTTGACCTACATCTTCGCAGTTTATTATTGAGAGATAGTACTCGTTTTGCTTTTTCTGAAGCCGCGTTTTCAAACAAATCTACACTACTTTGAAATCCTTCATGGCTCAATAACTGATTCATTACTAATAGTTGTGTTGTTGTTTCAGCCCAACGTACACCAATCTCAATCGTCTTATAGCTCAGGTGGTCTCTTCGATCACAGCTTCCCTTCGATTCGATGGCGCACTCAATGTTGATCTCACTGAATTCCAGGTGCCCTTCTGTCTATTCTACTGTCTTCTTTTCGCTTTATTGTGAGATACATTTAATTTAGTTAGATAATTGACGGATTTTAGACAAATCTCGTTCCGTATCCGAGAATACATTTCCCCCTCGTTACATACGCTCCCATTATATCTGCGTGAGTTTTGTGATATTTTACATGAAGGTACTAGTGTTAAAAGTAACGGGAATGATACTGTTGGTTGAAACTGTGTTGGCCATAAGTATGTGTTATAGAAAAGCTAAAATGTATCAGAGTGTTTCAATGCAAAGAAAAAAAAGATATGCGCGATGAAACTGGACCACATTGCAGAAGGGGCGCGCCGGGTGTGGGCCTGCGAGCCGACTTCTACTCTAATGGAATACAGAAGCTGCCCAACCTAGTGTGTTGGAATTCACAGAGAGGTCTAATACTGTCTGAATCCCTGGAGACACGCGTCGGCCCCCTTGTAACGATTATGGCACATGAGAAGGTTGCGGATGTCGGAGGAGCTGTCCTTCAGCCGGACACTTATTCAAGGTCGTATCGCAAATTCTCTTTCGCTTGTCCATTACAAATAAATGAATTCTACAACTGAAAAATCCACTCAGATTTCGACCCTGCACCTCAAGCTTACTAGACTACATAACGACTATACAATCAATGCCGTCCTGCACCCTCTCAGCTTGAAGAAAAACCGTCCACCCGTCAACTACCAACGGCGACCCTCCCATGGTGGGGGGGGGGGGAATCCGCAGCTGCAGTAGTGGTCCAGTTTCTCCGCTAAAAACGTGTAGGGACGGGGCTGGAGGGTAGTTACAGCCGGGTTGCGTCTTTATACACCGCTATGCATTATGTGTAGAACTCACCGCGATACTGCGGAATCAGGGCACAGCATCGTTGTGTGAAACACATAGGGGGATCGTACTTTTCTGCTGGGGAGGGGGTCGTATTTGGGGTAAGACAAATTTATTTTGATAGTTGATTTTTTCTTGTGGAAAAAGGGGTCGTATTAATTTTTTGTGTTATATGCACCCTGTACACCCGCCGGATATACGTTGCATAGTTATTGTATACCCCGCTCGACGACTTTTTCGCCGACTATATACTCATCGCTCGTCAGTCGGCGAAAGAGCCGGTCGAGCTGAGGGGGGTCGTACCAACGGGGAAAAAAAAGGGGGGGGGGTCGTGGCGTGGACCCCATTCGGAGGGGGGGTCGTACTCACACCGACATTTCGCCTATCCCTATGCTGTACCCTGCTGGGATCCCGCAGCAGGGACGCACGTAGCGGTAAAGAATAACCAAAAGTGAGAAGGGAGCGCATTATCTCCATTGGCTTTTATGCCATGTGTGCGGCAGTATATGGCTGGGGAAAACTGTATTTTCAACGATTTCACTCATAATTAGCAACGAAGAGACACATGAGGAATTGGTATCGTCAAGACGTACCACAGCTTATGATTTCAGCGAAAGAGCTTACCACGAACAAATGACCGTTTCCGAAATCACCAATGCTTGCTTTGAGCCTGGTTGTCAAATGGTGAAGTGCGACCCTCGTAATGGAAAATATATGGCATGCTGCTTGCTTTTCAGAGGAGATGTTGTGCCTAAGGTCAGTTGAAAGTATGGTAGTTCAGACGATCTCTTGTGTCTAACATAGACGGAAACGAAGGTCTCATGAGAAACTAGTTTTTGCAGCGACAAGGATACCCAGCGAGATTAGGGGGATCTATAAGTAGTTTGTGACAAGAAGTAATCAATGGACTGAGTGCAATACTTATAATGGCCGCGTGTGCTGAACTGCGCTTTTAGTCATAAAGACTCGTGGAACGAAGTCACTACTATTATTGTTTGATAACTGCTGTTTAACGCCGCAGTACGCGATACGAAAGCTATCACAAGAATGCTGAGTTATGGGCAAAAGTCGGACCACGGACGGGATTCGAACCCGCATCTTCTGCTTACCGGGCAGTTGCGTTCCCTATTACGCTACCGAGGCCACTTTTGACCACTCAGCTCAATGGCTATTTGGCGAAGTCACTACTATAAAAGCGTAGACTTGAACAGTCATCTTCAGAACACATTTTGAGATCGACACAGAATGTAGGAAGACAAGGGATATAGCAGCGACCACGGGGCGCTATGTGGTCCATACTGAAGGGTGGGCAGGGGCGTGGGTGCCTGCCAATTCTCCTTTTACTTACATATGTACGTGCCTCTGCCCCCCCCCCTCGTCTAAACTCTCGCCGCTTTTGCGGGCATGCCATTTCCTGCCCTCAGATACGGACTATAAATCTGATATGGCGCCATGCTACATTTTTCTATCTTCCGCTTTTTCAGGACATCAACTCGGCAATCGCCGTAATCAAGACGAAACGGGCCATTCAGTTCGTGGACTGGTACGTAAATTGCGGAATTAATGTCAGAGCAGTCCTAATTCTCTTTTTTAAGGTGTCCAACAGGTTTCAAGGTAGGTATCAACTACCAACCACCGACGGTTGTACCGAATGGTGATCTTGCTAAGCTGCAGCGTGCTGTCTGCATGCTTTCCAATACAACAGCTATCCAGGTAGGGCAATGAGATTGATTCGGAGAGTGTGAAGTGCGTATAATTAAGAGTTTAGTACATCGGGGGTGGGGCCACGTCACATTTCGGGTTAAATATGCTCAGAAACTGCATAAAAAAGCAACCGCTACACGTTGGAGTAAAAACAGATGGGTAGGGGAAAAGCATGTTCTACGCTAATTTTTACGGCTTGCTTAACCGTAGCAAACATCTAGCTGCTCAACAGGATAATGACCATTGTCTGAGCGGAGCCGTTATTTGGTGGCTTTGTCAGGAACATCTCAAGAAGGAGTCGTTTAAAATAACATGTTCAGTAGTTCATTGGTAGCGCATAACAAAGCACCCTGGCATTGTTTAATTCCAGTAACGTTCATAACGTCGATTTTACAGGAAGCATGGGCTCGTCTCGATCACAAATTCGATTTGATGTACGCCAAGCGAGCTTTCGTACACTGGTAAGAAAGTACCACTTTAATGTAGCACTTCCGAAACCCGATAAAATCACGGTAACACTAACTCAACCCTCCCACTTTGGCACCAGGGGCATTGTTTGTCGGTGTTTTGATGGGTCGCGGCAGATTTTCGAGGAGCCCAGTATGGCCGCGGTAGGCTAAAAATACAGAAACCTCGCTCTTAGAAACTGTCCCTTATGGCTCAAGGAGGACAAAACATAGATCACTCCTTCTTTGCTTTTACAAAAACTTGGTTGGACTTGGCGCGCTAACTAACATAAGTGACTCTTTGCAAAATCTATGGCAAGGTCATCAAAAATGTAAACGGTAATGTGGAGCTCTCGCGCTATGATACTAAACTCAGTCATCAACTTGGCAACTATTGACTCGTACTGGACTTTGCTGACTTATAGTACACTACTGTACAGGTATGTTGGTGAAGGAATGGAAGAAGGCGAGTTCTCAGAGGCTAGAGAAGATATGGCTGCACTCGAAAAGGACTACGAGGAAGTTGGCGCCGATTCTTTCGATCCAGCCGAAGAAGAATACTGATGCTACACTGGATTTATAATATTTTTGTTGATCTGGATGAATCTTCCGATACTGATCAGTGGCTTTTTTTGTTGCGCCGCGCAGTCTACTTCTATGCGAAATAGTGTCAAGTAGCTTTTCGGATGTTGATTTATATTGATTATTGATTTTGAAAGTGATAAAGCTTTGGCGATTCCTTGTAGGAACATGCACATGTTTCAGTTTCATTCAGAATTTTAGTGAAATTTTAAATGCGAATGTGTGATAAAAGGAAATGTGGGAAACAGCAGGTTACAGCGCAGGGCTTTTATTTCTCAGACAAGCTCTGGAGAGATCGAAAGAGATCACTTCCAGCGACACCGCCTTTGCTTTTCTAGAAATACAAATACCGTGGTAGTGGATGTATTTGCAACGAAGTATTGAAAAAGGACTTTCGTCACCGATCAGTCCCTTCTTGTCATGCGGCGCGTATTCTTCTTACATTCAGAATCGTCACGAAAAAGTACACCGAGGGTGGGAAGTTTCCCAGCCTTGACAGGAACCGATCCGAGATGTGACCTATGGACCGCGACCGTGGTCACTTGCCACTACACCACTTCTTCCTCCGAGTGTGTTCTTAATGTAAATAATTTTTCAGGCTGCTTGCTTCTACGAAAATAACTGAGTTAACTCGAATAAATAATCCAAGGATGAAATGCCGCTGTGCTGAGAATGCAAGAGTGGCGCCGGTAGCGCAATGGATATCGTATATTACTTGGACAGCTAGGGAGAACCGGTTTGACGTAATGCTTTTTACTTTTAATTGCAACTGCTCCAAAACTAAATAGTGTCTAAAGAAACTTGGAACCAAATTAGTGGAATTTGTTTTCTATATTCTTTTTTGATTTGAGGTAAGGATAGGTAAAAATCGGGAGAGCTCCATTCAGAGTAGGTTCTTACTACCCCAAATGGAGCTCTCTCGCTCTTATGACACATGTTCACATATGTAAACATGTAACCATATCTTTACATGTGCTAACATATGTAAACATGTAGACATAGGTGTACAGATGTAAACATGTAAACACATGTTTACATAGTTTGCAGATGTGACGTGTAAACACACGTTTACATATGTAAACAGATGTTTACATAGGGAGACGGTAAAGAGGATCGTAATTCGCCGCACCGCCACGCGCGGCGATGGGCGCGGCGTTTTCATAACTCGTTTTAACCTGTCGAATGGAGCACCGGACTTCATGTAGACCCCGTCATCGTAGACACTCATTACTGTTTTCGGTCCTTAATTGCATGTTGTCGCCATCTACTGCCTGAAACCATCGTCCTTTGCGGGCGGGACGTCGCACGCGACGCCCAGCAGCGCGGCAAATTACGATCCTCTTGTCACATACCCCCTGGAACCATCGTCATTTGCGGGCGACGTCGCACGCGACGCCCACCAGCGCGGTGAATTACGATTCTCTTGTCACATACCCGCATGGTTAGGCAAGGCGTGTACCATCCTGTTCCAAC